AGAGGCGCACTTGGACATAAGAGAATCATTGTCAATGTCATCCCCCAAATTATGCAGCTTAGGCTCTGCTCTACTCAATGTCATGGGGATTGTGGATCCAACTTCCCCATGACATGATAATGGCCAACTTCCCCATCGTTATCCAAGAAGGACTTGAACAAATTATTGGAGAAGGGCAACATCTCCTTATGATAGTTGCATATAGTTATCTGGAATTGCCTTTTTTTGTAAGGGAAGGGAGGGTGTGTTATTGGCTGCAATTCTATTCTCCTGTTGTTTGCTTTTCAGATAATTTTGTCATCATGCTTACAATTGAAGGTGGCATTACTATTTCCAGTCGCTGATTGCTGTCATTTAACAGATTGATAGATGAAGGAAAACTCATGGACGCTCTTGCACTTTCTGATCACTTACGTAATGGAGCTTTAGATCAGTTACTCCTGCTAATCATTGAATGGTTAATTGACCAACCTCCGTCAAATCCCGCAGAGAGGATAATTAAGTCAGGAACCAAAATATGGTCCCAAACTGCAAAATAGTCTGCATCCCCACACCGACCATTTTCCCTGGGGACATTAATGTTGTAACATGCTCCTGATCCTTCTCCAATCATAGTACAGAAACCATCATCAATAGCTGGATAAGAGGCTTCCAAACTCATGCCCGAAAGAAGCACAGCTCCATACTGTCATCATAACTAAGAACATTGATCTTATGTGAGACAAGTCAACCAAGCAAGTTACAAGCTAAAAGCTGATCTAATGAGAAAAACTTTTGATAGAATGCAAAAACTTAGAAATTGTTGTCACAATAAGGAGTCTCTCAATCGACTACAACCAAATTTTGATACCGTAGGCCAGAGATGGCTGCTTCCATGACCAAAAGTTAGAAATTGTTGTCACAATACGGAGTCTCTCAATCGACTACAACCAAATTTTGATACCGTAGGCCAGAGATGGCTGCTTCCCTGACATGGTGCATGCCAACTTCCCCATCATTATCCAAGAAGGACTTGCACAAATTACGGCCACCCCTGGTCGCCGACGACAAGACACGGGCACCGTCTCATAGGGGTCGAGATGCCAAAACACAATATGTGGCACTGCATCACCGTAGCCTTTCTCCTTAAGATTTTTTT